ACTGGGGAAAGTGATGGTCCGAGGCTAAAGGGATTTCTAACCTGTGTATGAAAACCTGGGAAACCCAAGCTGCAAAGCACAGGCAGCTTGTACCTTAAAAATCTGCCAGCCTATTTAGCACTCAGGGTGAGAATTTGCTAATTCATATCCTATCTATCTAGTAGCTTAAGCTCAGTTTGAGTTTTTCTTTATTTACTAGGTTATCTGCTTTGATCCGTTTGCTATGATTTATAATCACTTAAAATCTATCTTTTTGACTTAATAAACTTATTTTATGTTTTAATCCGAACCAGTGTGTGTTAGTCTCTGGGGAAAATCTCAGATTGGTTACCAAGTGTGCATGGTCCTCTTCACATCGAGGGAGTGGCGGACCGGGTATTAACCCCATATACTGGCCAGATTTGACCAGGGCAGGATGGTACTGCTCTGGGGTCCTAGGCTGGTGATTAGAGAGCCTGCATGTTACTGCAGCTGGGTGTGTCCCTATCTGTGGGAATGCTGGTGAAAGTGCAAGCTTAGAGGACTTTGCAGCTTGTCACAGCAGCCCGGTCTATGGGGAAGCCTAGGCTAGTAGGTCAGAGGGCTCAGTAGTACCCAAGTTCCAGGTGGCACCCCAGGAGAAACTCATCATAACAGGGTTCTTTCTTTTCCTTCTGGATGGAGTAAAAGACATTCACTTGGCTTTTCAGGCTCAGTGCACTGATCAGACCTCAGCAGCATACTCTGATTGGTTTAGTTGTGGATAAGAGAGATGCTTCAGTTCCAATTAGAAATTCAGCAATATCTCTGTAGGGGAAGTGTGTAGGGGAGAGGGAACTAATAAGGGCAGTAGTACTGGCCTACTCAGGGGGCAGGTGTACAGAGAGAAAAGTGTTAGAGGGCACTAGGACCCCATGAAGGAGATGGAAACAGCCATAGCAGTAAAAGGTTTTGCCTATTTTCATTCCTAGTTTACGTTTATGTTGCCCCTCTATCCTGCCATCACATGTTCTGCCTATATGTTAGGGTCTGTCCCTTTCCTGTCCCTATATGGATATTAGTCAATAGTTCCTTAAAGTGCCCATTCAAAGTGGGTCCTCCAAACTATAGGCTGTGTCTGCACTAGGTTTTTTCTTCAAATGTGCCACTGTTTCACTGGTGCTATGCTAGCATAGATTGTCCGCTAGTATTTTGACCCGGTGCAGTCTCTAACCCTTGCTCAGTGTAGATTTAAAAGACATGATACAGTAGTTAAAATACTACTGCCCACTGCCAGTTTCTCTATTCTATCACTTCCATTGCTAGTGGAACTGCATTAATGACAGTGCAATGGTGGGAAATCTGAAGAAAATTGCTAGTGCAGACAAGTCCACAGTAGCTTCCTCTCCTGTTGTAAGGGTAATTTCTTCTCCTCAATGCCATTTGCTAGTATCTTTAATTTTCAAATGATACTTTTGATGAACATGTTAACTGGGCATTTCCTCCAAGCTCAGTTTCCCAGACTAGCCATAAGCAGTAATACATAATTTCATGCATCCATAACAGGGTAATTTATTCTGACAAAGTGCAATAGAAAAGAAGTTATTCAGATAAAAAAGAGCAAACAGAATTAAAACCGGACAAGCTGGCCTTACTTCTGACAGGCTTCAACTTGCTATGCGGAGAGAAAAAAAAGTAATTGGAAGTAGAAACAAATCTATTTTTTCCCCTCCAAACTTTGGAAATACCTGATTGATCTTCTGGCACACACATAGAAGAAAAGTAAACTGTTGATCATGTTGTCCTGCATTGTCAATTGTAAACATGTCATGCACTGCTACAGTATTTTACAGTCACTTCATCCAGGACTCATAGGTCAGTTAAGGAACCTTGTAGACAGATGACTTTTTTTCTTATAATAAAACATACCTCACTTATTTCAGTTTTCAAAAATCTGTGTGTGTGTGTTTTGAAGGATGAGAGGGAGATAGTATATTTCCATCTCCAGTATTAAACAGCCTTTTTCCATTGATATCTTTAGCTGTAATTAAATGTGCACTTATGAATAAACCTCCAGATAGCAGTTTCCTAACAGCAGGTCACTCACTGTCCATAAGGTAAATTCTGCAGCAGGCAAGGCAGAAACTATTTTAGTTTGTCCATCACATAAAAAGAATGGGCAATTATGTCTTCAGTTACACACTGTGGCTTAAGTTTTGGCTTCTATGTGTGCAAGTCAGTGCAGAATTTGGCTCCATCTCTCTCCTGGCCCAATTATCAAAAGGGAATCATGAGTTTTGGGAGCCTCAGTTTTTTTCATGCTTAACTAAGACACTTTAAAAGGGACCTGATTTTGAGAAATTGCTGAGCATCTGCCTTCTAAAAATCAGTCCTGTTTAAAGTATCTGAAAAGTTGGGCATCCAAAAATGGGAGGCACCCAAAATCACTAGTCATTTAAAAAAAATTGGCACTCTATTTGCAATTTTTCTTTAGATAACCAAAAACAAAATCCACAGAACCAAACAGAAAGGGGTTTAAGGATTGAAATATCCATGAAAGTGATGGGCTCAGTCTTTGTCTGGTAACAAGTAGAAACAAATTTCAACCCATACAAGTCTGCGTTTCCCTCAGACTCAGAGAATGCTTTAGAGGATGTTTATATAACTATCCCTATAATGCCTTCCCACATAAATATACACAAGTAATAATCCTCTCACTGATAAAAAGAGCCTAAGGATTTTGGTCTGTCACTTTTAATACAGTTTATCTCTGATACTGCTAAATAATTCCTGTTTGGCTCATTCATCCTCTCTAAAAGGAAAAAAATAAAAAAGACAGTTAACACATTTAACATGTAGAGAGGTGATTAAAAGTACCCTGCATATTCAGAAACCAGATTGTGTAGACCAATAATGTAGAATATAAGAGAAAATGAAACAAGGTAACAGCATTTGTGTTTCTTAACTCACTAGAGATTTTTAATCAAAGTGAAATTATTGCCAATTAACTCCAGTACTAGTACTGGTTCACACTAGTCTGGATACTTCACTAACACTTTACTAACCTTTGGTTCAGGACACGCACATTTGTGCTTAACCCCACGCCAAATACATCCATGGTTTACTTCAGACTCAGCCTGGAGTAAACCCATTGTTTATGACATAAAACCAACATGAGTGGAGTGTACGGACATGTTAATTAACTTTAATTAACTCAAGTGTAGACATATCCTAACTGTGCAGAGATGGTTCTATTTTTATTTTTTAGTTCTGCAATGTCAGCTTTACTGTAATGTTTTGCATTTGATACTCTGCCTGTGCTCTAACTTTTTTGCTGCCCCAAGCAAAAAAAAAAAAGCGCTGCCCCGCCGTAACAACCCCCTCCCCCACCCCAGCACCGCAACAACAACAAAAAAACCCAGAGCGCCGCCCCGCCGTAACAAACCCCCACCCCCAGCGCCGCCCTGCCGAAACAAAACCAACCCCCCAGCACCACCCTGCCGAAACAAAAACAACCCCCCCAAGCGCCACCCTGCTGAAACAAAAACAACCCCCCCGAGCGCCGCCCCGCCAAACCAAAAAAAACAAAAAACCCTGAGTGCTGCCCCGCCGAAACAAAACAAACAAATCAAAAATAACCCAGAGCGCCGCCCCGCCACCCCAAGATTGGCCACCCCTTACAAGGGGTCGCCCCAAGCACGTGCTTGGTTGCCTGGTGCCTGACGCCAGCCCTGTTTTAGATGGCTGTAGAGGAAATTTGGAGAAAGGTGTAGGAAGACGGAAATTGCAACAGCTGAGACTAAATGTGACCAATAAAATAATGGGAAAAATTGCCTATTTCTTTCCTTTATTCTTTGATGGGATTGATCTTTGCATGCTGTTTAGTTTTGTATAATAACAGCTTCAGGCCATATGAATAATTAGGGTTTTTTTATTTTGTTTTGTTGAAGCTTTTCTTACAGCTTCTACTGTGGCAAAGATAGAAGTAGGTTTTATCTGTTTAACTCTCACTCGTGTGTGTGTGTGCACACACACATGCACACACTAACTATAGACCTCCTTTTCAGAGATACACATTGTGTCATCGATGCTCGGCACCTCTTCAAAGCAGGCCACATATTAATGTGCAGTCAGATATTTAAATGAAGTTAATCTCTTACTGCCACTTGCTTCATCGACTATTTGAAATCACACAGCTTAGAAAATAGACATTTCAAAATGTCTGGCACATTTTGTATTGGTCTTGCAGAGAATATATTGCAAGTAGTCATGATGTTTGCTTTCATGGAAGCGTCTCTTGCTTTTAAAAAAATAAAATTTACTCTCAACATTTTGTTGCTTATTATCCCGTGCTAAACTACTTCCTTTCCAAAGGTTTACAAATAGTTCTATGTATTCCATAAAGGTTTATTTCTTTCTGTCAGTGCTATAATACTGAGTCTATACTAAGTCGTTAATTTAAAGGAACAGTTGTATCTTATGGCAAAATATAACCAGAACCAAATGCTGCTGAACTTGGATAACCAAACAGATTCAGTATAATTGCTGCATTTCTTAATAAGTTAAACTGCTGCATACTTTATTCTGGGTAGGGGCAGAGAGGAACTGCATCTATTGAATAGGTAGGATTCCTATCAGTTTATGATGCTGTCAGTAAATATAAAACAGATGGTTCACCAGTTTGGCCATGAAAGAATACAAGTACCTCATAAAGCCTTTGACAGAGGAAGCTGGAATTTATGGGGGAGGCGACTGTACGTACACGCATATGTGTGTGTTCGGGATGGGGGGGGAAGCAATTAACTGACCATTATTCTGTAAAATCCCCTTTGATATATTGTAAGAGAGGAGACTGACATTTAAACTGTCTGAATTTGCGCTGGACTTAAATTATTTTAACAAACACAAACTAGCAGGTTTGTTTCCACTGAGTTTCGTAATCCAAGTTTTTCTTGGAGTTTTCTGAACCCATGACCCCTCTTGCCTTTTCCACCCTCTGAAAAAAAAATCCCATGCCCAACAGTCCCATTACCCCTTTTTACCTTGTCATCTTGGGGACCCAGTGACAATCAGCCTCTCTCTCAGCATCTTCAGGAAGCATCTGACTAACCCTCTGTCCCATGCAGAGTCTTTGAGGGGTGGGTAGTAGCCAAGCTGTCCCCCAATCTATCATTCGTACCTTCAAGGAGCAGGATATCCAGTTGTGTTTCTTCTTGTGTCCAGTTCCACAGCAGCAGGACTGGGAAATGTTCTTTTTTTACAGCCTGTTAACCTCACTCTAGGACTTTCTGTATCCCAGAATTCACCCTGCAGTAACAGAGAATGATTAAACATGCAAATAGTATGCTAGGGAGCAGTCAATTTAGAGTCCAGACTCACTACAGAGATCCTCTGTAGGGGGAGTTGGTCAGATGGCACCCACTGAAGACATTAGGAAAAAATGGGATTACAGGCCACTGCCATCTTCCATTATAACAATTTAAGAGAAGGTTGTCCCATTGCTTGTTCTGTTATAGGGTCTGTGTGAAGGAACAGAGATGCTCAAGCAGCCCAAGTCCTCACTGGAATATGTAATCAGGCAAATTTCAGTTTTAGCATTCACATAGCCCTAACTTTGACCAATGCATACATGTAGCTTCCCCTTAGTTGTCTTCCTTGTAGCAACCTGTGCAAATGAATAATGTCTCTGGAGTAATTTGTTTCAGTTAGGAAGCACTCTAATTCCCTTCCATGTCAAGAGGTTATAATTCCAAAAGAACTAGAGAGAAGATGTGATTTGCAACTTCACTTATCCGTTAGGCAAGCAACAAGCCCACCCATGATGATAAAAACACACGAGCTAGCAATCAGAATGAAAAAAACATGATGAGATGAGTAACTTCAGGAACAACAGCAAAAATATTGCAGTGAAGCTTCTAATTAGCTAGCAGACTGGAGAGAATTCTATGAAAAACAAGGGGTAGGAAATAAATTATTGGACCTTAAAATATATACTATTAAATTAAAGGGGGTGGGGTATTACACAAGATAAGTCAAACAAGCAAATGTTTGTATTTAGAATTCCACACAATCTTTTTAAAATAAGAATTGTAGGATTTCCTAAAAAAGTTAGTTAATAAATGTTCAACCAGTTAAAATCTTTACAATTAAACAAAAATCCAGTTGATTTAAAATTTTAAAGAAAAAAGCACTTGACAAAGAAGGCAAAATCACTTTATTTGTAATCACTGAAATTATTTCAATCATAGTCTGTCTTTTCTTTAGTGGCACTTTCTAGACATAAATGTGGCATATCTTTAATGAAAAATGTATGGTTTTATCAGAAGAGCTCATTAAAAGTAATTTGAGTTTATGTCTAATCTAAGTGAAAAATATCTGTGAGAAAATGACAGATTTGCTTCAATTCCTTGGTGTTCCAGCACTGCTGAGGCCTTTGTTTTCTCAGTCAAGGCATACAAGGATGAAGTCTGATGAATCTGAGTAAAGTCACTGGAAATGATTTCTAAAGTACTCTTCCGTTTGGAACAGCCTATATGAATACATTTAGCATCTCAGGATAACAAGGAAAGGAGACAGTAAGTCTGTTCCTAGTGACCAATCTGGCTTTACTAAAGAGCCTGTAATAGAAGCACACTAGTATCAGTATTATTGCAAAAAAACAACAACGTATTACAATAATGAAAAACAAAGTTTTAAAATGGTAATTGTGCTGTATAACCTTTTAAGAGCAGAGCAGCACTGTGCGGGAAAGTCAATTCAAACCACTTTTCTTGTCCTTTATAATGTCTTTCTCTCCCCATGCCCCACAGATGCCCAAGGAGGGTTCTTCAAGCAAACAAAAGAAAAGCCCTCTCCCCACTTCCTTAGGGAACATTGTAGGAAAACAAAGAGAGGGAAGGGTGACCTGGATATCAGGAAGTCTTCCTGGGTCAGCCCTTTGGGTTTAATCTAAAATGGGGTCTATCTCCACCCCCTTCTATTGGGGAATTCTACTTTGAGGCTGGATCATGCAGCTTTGGGAGCAGTGGGGGCTTGCCACTGTCTCCCTCTCAACAGGCCTGGCTCAGCTGTCTGAGGAAGGGCAGCCTTCACCAACTCCCCATTCACCACCTCTTTCTATGGCAGGTTTTCCCTTTTAAGTCCCCCCCCACAAACACACACACACCATTTCAGGCAGGACAAGCCTTGCAGGTGTGCCTCATTGGTGCTGAACCCACACAGAAGACCTTGTTATGTCCTCTCCTCCAAAGCAAGGGGGTGTCTCTTCACAAGCATTTATCACATTAAAACTGTAACTTTGACTAAAAAAAAAAAACTTCAAGCTATATTGGGAAAAATAACCCTTTAATGTGACAGTATTCTGTAGAAAGATCTGCAATGTCTTTTATCATCTATACCTAGCAAACAGGCAAAGTCTCCAAAAAACGAGCATTACATTCATGCTCATGCAGGTGTATATTTTAAAATAATGTTACTGTAAAAAATATAGCTTACTACTATAAAAATATGTTCACATAGAATGAACCATAATTTAACAACATATGGTGAAGTTCACAGGTCAAGGCTGGTTCAAGCACATTTAGGTTCCCCTGTAAAGCTATCTGATTGAATACAAGGTCCAATATTTAGCATGAATTCATTTCCTCTTACTCCTTTCTCCTATTGTCCTACCAAACTTACCTTGGCCAGTCCCACCAAGCAGAATAGTGAAGGAAAGGAGAGCTTAATCAGACTTGCTGGAAGATGATTAGAAAATATGTGCATGGAAACTTAATATTTAAAAGGAGGAGGGACTAACCAGGCAGGGTTGTGCTTAGAGCTGAGTGAATTATTGAAAATGAACAATTCATTCAATTAATTATTCTTTTTTTCTGTTTGAAAATAATCCATGAACAGATCTCAATTTTTATGAATTTGTTTTTGTCAACATATTTCAGCCTCTGGATTGCCGCTCCATGGCTATTCCTAAAAATCATCACTATTCATAATTTGTCATTTGCACTGACTGATTATTCCTTTAAGTCACTTTTATATTGATTCTGCTCCTTGATTGGATGGCTTCTAAACCAGAGAACTTTCAAGATGGTTGTGCAAATACTTGCTGCCTGAATATTCAGGCAAATATTTGCATTACTATTTGCAACAGTTTCTGCTTCTAAGGAACAAAAGTTTGCTCATAAGAACATTTACAGTAAGTCAACACCAGAGGTTGTGAACACCGCCACAGTGAATTAGCTTCTTTTTTTTAATCAGATGAATGTTTGCAAGTTATTCATGCAGTATTTGCTCATCTCTAGTTGCAATAACAGCAGTGCCTCCCCTCTTCCCCTGGCAGCTTCAAAACTGTGAAGATTTTGTCTCTGCCAGCTGGGGAAAGAAAACCCATTGGCCCCTTTAAGGATTGCACTTCCCTTCCTTGTGGACTTAAAGAGGGAAGGAGTGAGAGGACTATCGCTGATTGGTTGGCCAGAAGGGTACAACATACTCCTATTGGTTCCTGCACATCCAAGGAGAGGGCTTCCCCTTCCCTGCTTGCAATTAAAATAAGACCATGTTTGGGGTTGAGAGTGTTGCAGTGGGCATCATGCTAGATGCCTTATGTGGGGCTGCAAAACAATTATCCTGACAGAGTTTGGGCGGGTGGTTTTTTCACCTTTGTCTCAGCAGTCCTGGGACCCTGTAGGTAAACTAAGTTCTAAAATTCATGTTGTCACAGCTGAGCAGGTACTCAGCGCATGTAAATGTTCACTAAAGGTCAAGTTCCGTAATAAATCAGAGCAAGTGGAAGTGTATTCCGAGAAACATCTCCTAAAGAGAGAAGGGCATGGGATTAGATCTTCATGTCTGATACAGTGATAAGACATGCGGGGAGGGCAGTAGGGTCCCAGAAATGGTGCTGGGACAAGGTTAATGGGATGGAGGTGTTCAGGGCAGCTCTCCCCAACCCCTGTGGTATGGATTAAAAAGAAAGGATGACCTGCACCGTACAGATAGTTCCCAGATGTTTGTTTAATAAAGTTATGGCCTAGTTAAACCAAATTCCTGGTGACTTGTCTGTCTTCCTGCAGTGCCGAGGACAACACCACCTTGATACTTTAGGGGTTTCATTTTACCACCATAGCCACAGAGTTCTTTGTCATCATGAAAATGAGACTGTGACTTCAAGGAGAATTCACATTGGTGCAGTCCTCCGGGGGCCTACACTATATGAGATGTAAAAATGAATAACACCACAGTCTATTGGGGAAATGATATTATGAGAACTGACTATATATTTATTATAGCTGGTCAGGAATTTTCTGATTAAATATTTTGTCTTGTTAGAAAAATGCCAACTCATGAAAATCAAAACATTTTCCAGGAATACATCAGTTTTGATTAAACTTTTACTGGGGAGTTCTGGATATTGTGGGGTAGAGGGGGAGGAACAGGGGAAGAGGTAAAGAGTGACAGAGACTTACCCACACTAGTCAATTTCCTAGGGGTTAGGACATACAGCTAATGCTCTGCTCTAACTCAGTGCAGAATGGAAACTTTTCCAAACTCTTGAAAATTTTCATAGCATGAGAAAATAATTTCCCACCAAGGGTTCTAATATTTTTGTCATTCAGACTTGGAAAATTAGCTATTAAAACTTATGCCTACTTTAGCCTCTTTCATAAACATTACAGTGAAAAAGAAAAGATAGTTATTGGATGGACTTTCTCTAACACTCCAATTCTATAAGCTGTTCTATGTGGGCAGACTACCATGTAAGCCAATGGGGCTCTACATGAGTGCCTACGTCTGTCTGTGGGGAGAACACTACAGGATCAGTGCCTATATCCATTATTGTGTGATCACTGCTAAATTTTGAACTATAAATTAAAATGCCACTTACTATAATTTAGCAAGAGGGGGTAATTATAAAACATACAGTAAATTCTCAATATTGTATTCTTTATAGGGCACATTCAGGTTCCAGATTCAGATTTGTTAGCTATGCCTGCTTTACAAACATGAAAATTTCTCCCCTTGTAAATACTGTGCTACCTGCTCAGTAGTATTTTTCAAAACATACACATCTTCTTTTGCATAGCAAATTGAAAAAAAATTAAACGTCAATGTCCAGATTATTGGACCTTAAAATATATACTATTAAATTAAAGGGGGTGGGGTATTACACAAGATAAGTCAAACAAGCAAATGTTTGTATTTAGAATTCCACACAATCTTTTTAAAATAAATCCTACGCTTTTTGGCTTCTGGTGACATGGAATGAATCAAAGCTGCTCCTCCAGAGGAGGATCATATAGGGCAACAGTTCA